AGTTTTATTTAAGAAAGGACTTGTGTTGCTAAAGCTTCGTCGGGACGAATTTACGGAAAATTAACTAACGACTGGAGGCGTAACAGTATTTTAACATCTCTATAAAGCAAAAGCTATTTATTTCTATTTTTCAGTAACTAAAAACTAAGCTGTTTTAACTTAAGAAGAGCACTGACCCTGAAACCTGGTACATATAAACTTTATGGAAGTATAACTATTCTAATTTTCAGTATTTTTTTTTCAAAGGTTTTGTCATTTTCACCAAGCGTATTATTAATTTTTCACTAAGCTGGTTGACACGTTATTTAAAGGTTATTATTATTTTTTTTTGAACGAATACACATTGGGGTAGCTTGTAAATGTTAGGCTATAGTACTATAATGTATTAGTACGCTAATCGGAAGAAAATTTTGGAAACAAAAATCGGATTCGACTGTTTAATACAGAAACCGTGCCAGCAAGTTTCCTGATTAACATTAAATAATAATAAGTGAAAATCATTAGTAGAAAATAAAGTTTAAATTTCATATGGACTAGTTTCTGAAAAGAAGCTGAAGAACTAAGCCATTTTTCTGTAAGTGTAAACAGGTTTGATATTATTGCGAGGTTATTGATAACGCCGTGGGTTTGTAACGGAAAGCTCGTGCATTTGACAAGTTATATTAGTGCTAGAAATAGTAATAATTTTGAAGTTAAAAGTGAGTTCTATTGAATGTGATTTAATTCTATATAAACATTTCCAGTGATGGACAGTAATCAATAGAATTCAATCTTATTGATATATAATAGAATTAAACAGAGTATGGTGTAACTTAGGGATCATTTAAAAACAGTGTGTGTGAGTAGGCTTGCTTTCTTTGCTTCCTTTTCTAACTCGTTGGCTTTGATTCGAAGTTGAACGCATGAAAGTGGAGTGATTGTGTCTATTGCCAGTACTAGCGGTACAACTACTAGAAGAACCACTGCGGTATTACAAGTATGAGTTTAATACTGTAGTAATTAATTTAATGCTATTTATGGTTGAACTTAAGCTACTGATACTAATCATCAAGACGAAATTTAAATAGTAGGTACCTAGTACTAGAGCTAGTATACTAAATTAACTTCTTAAATTTAACTAAACCGTGAACGTGTTCAGCTGTAAAAGTGTAATGTTAAATAGACACCAGTTTAGTACAAACTATAATCAGCACTCGATATTAACTTTTTCAATTAGCAAATGGCAATGCCATATTACTATTAGTATTAGTAATAATAATTGTTACTAACTATAGCCTGTAACTAATATAACTATAACTTATAAATATAGGTGGTTTTATAAGTTTTAGCCTAATCTACAGTGTCCAAGTAATAATAATGAATAAAAATATTTTGAAATCCCTGAAGGAAACTAAATTGAGCCATATGATGAATGGTAAAATAATTTAGTATAGTAAAAGAAAAAAAAAAAAGTGGCCACTATGATGTACTGTTTGTTTTCATATAAATTTGGAACCCTAATAAAATCTCTAAAATACTGTGATTTGTTAGATGATTCATTATTTTCTAAATTCTATGCATCACAGAGGATGCATTGAATTTTAAGTTGTTTTTAGATATCCATTGAACTTTTTTAGTTATAAAACATAATTACCGTATTTTTCGGAATATAAGACACTGTTATTTTGAAGACAAAGTTTTGGTAAAAATTTTAAAGATTTTTATTGAACAATAACTCAATTTGATACTTTAAAAATTAGTATATATTGTTTCAAACACAAAAGAGCTCAAAACATCAAAATAAGAAAATACCGTAAATCAGAAAAAGGTTTACTGTTATTTAGTTTGGTTCAAAACCTACAAAATCTTCATTGCTTTCACAGTAAGTTATTTTTGTTATTATTCAGGGAGCATTTAAATAGTTATGTTTCTAAAAGAAAAAAAACAAACTACTATTGTTATAAATAACACATTCAATTGAACTAAACTATGCATGCCTATTTAAATATATTAACACATGGCTTGTGTATATCGTATACATACGTATATATATTATTCATACCTTTGGCGTATAGGACGCCAGCAGATTTTGACATCAAATTTTGGGGTAAAAAAATGTGTCTTATACACCGAAAAATACGGTACTATAAATGCAAGGTTTAACTTATTCAGTAAAAAAAGCATTACCTGTGTAGAAAGTAGTAACAATCTGAGTAAGTAGCCCAAGTACTATCTATAGATCTGCTGTAAATGTAAAAAAATTTTGTTATCTACTTGGTCAAAACTTGAAGTCAGTTTGGCATGCAAAAGACATGAAGAGGTATTTACTTGGTTGGCATTGGAATGTTTTAAGGTTCACATTCAGGAAATGTAAAAGAGCTCATAGCTAATAATATATGAATGTTTCTTTTGTAATTATTACTGATATAATGGTAATTTAATGTTTTAAAACAATTATGTGAACCATATTGGCCTAATTTACTCAAATGGTACTGAAAAATTATATTTGTGCTTTGTTCAATTTGCAAGAAGTTTGAAGGGCATGATTGATCAGTGAGGTAACTCATTCACTGAACAGTATTTACTATAAAATCTCATGCACGTGCTTTGACTCCCGAGTCTAATTGCTTGAAATGATACTTAATGTATCTGTGGTCATGTGTTAGATTATTTTCACTTGACTGCAACTACTATCATTGGTATTGTTTTATGCTGTGGTATATCACATAAAATTATTTTTACTGTTGTTGTTATTATTATTTTTGCAGATAGTTTTTTTTATTGTGATGTATTTTTATAATTTTTTAATGCTAGTTACATTGTTTTGATTTTGCTTACTGTGTTTAAACTGTATGTATTAAAATGCATGCAAAACTTTTTATGATTTTGGAAAGAGTTCCATATGGCACCCCCACCCAAAAATTGTAGAATTGCCTGGATAAAAAAGATTCTGAAAAGGGTTTATTTGTTTATTATGTACATCTAATTAATGAAGTAAGTGGTATAATAATGTATCAAAATTATGAGATCATACAATTAATATGATTTATTAATACATAAATATTACTTTGATGATTTTTTTTTTAAATTGAGTGGGGGTGCCATATGGAACTCTTACCATGATTTTTTTATCATTTTTATTTGCTGGATTGAATTTACTTGTATATACCAGTGTATAAAAAAGTTTGTTTAGGCATCCAAACATAATCTTGTTTTTCTTTAGTTGGGGAGTTCCTTTATATTATCTGGGGAAAATAAATCAAAGTCCAGTCCACGTAAACTATAACAAATTAGTTTTTCTTCCATAGTGCTTTTATAACTTGAACACCATGGTAAATCTTGGGCCACATTTATAAATGACCCTATCTGCACTCACTAACATAAATAATAAACTTGCTTGTACTATTTCACAGTTGAAAGGAAACAACAACACAATGACTAATTCACTCTATTGGCCAAAAAATGACTACTATTTTCAAAGAACTACCTTCTTAACTAACTTTTAAACTATCTCTTAACTATCTTCTTGAAGTTCTTCTGACTTCGTATTTATAGTCTATTTTCAAATACACTAGAAAGCTTGATGTCAGATATTTAGAAGTTTCTAGATCTAATCTAATGTCACTACTACTTGCAACTCCCTCAAGTTTGCAAACATATTATAACACAAAAAAATATAAGTTACTACACTACCCCCTTACTGGATTGTGAAGTTCCTTGAACAATCCTAATAAAACAAATAATGAAATAAAACTACACTAAAATGTATTTGCAAAGTCTTTTTTGGGATGGAATCTTGTATTTTGTTGTCACTGACCATCCTGTCATTAAGGGAATTCTTCCTGGTTTGGTAGTCAAGTGAATCCACTGGTAACTTCATCCTTGATGGTTCACTGGAAGTAATCTGTACAGAATCTTCAGACTCCTTTGCTGGTTGAGGTTCTACTGACAAATTCTTCTCTGGATTTACACAACTGGTTATTCTTTTACCAAAGTACTTTCAAAAGACAATCAAGATGCATGACCTTTGGCTTGGATTGTCTAAACTTTGGAGTTTGTGTGCAAGAGAAGTATTCAGTGATACCATGTTACCATGATGAAATCCAGTTTTATCAGCATTTACATTGTAACTACCTTTTATTATATCTTGAACAGATTTAATTCTTCCCTGGGTAAAGTCATGTACAGCTTCTTTATTCTTCACATCCAGGAGAGCTCTTCCAACCACCAATTCTTAAGGACATGCTGGAGTATTTGATTCCTCTCTGCCCTACTTATTGCTAATAAATCCTGGTATGAGTATTACTTCTTGGTGATTCAATGACTACCCTCCCTGTTGTAACTGGAAAATCAACTTGTGTAGTAACTGCCATGTCATACATAGGAATTCTCTTGTCATAGACTGTGAAGATACTTGAAATTTAGCCTGACCTTACATAGGTCTCTACATGATGTCAGTTCCAACTAGACACTCTTCCTTGGTGTGAATTACCCACACTTATGAGGCACAGAGAAGCTTCCTACAGAAAAGCTAACTTCCAGTTTCCCTTTTACTGGAACTTTATGGTCACTTGCTTTATTCTTTCATCATCTCTGGAGGCAATTTCCTTATCTTTCATTACCAAATTAGGTGAAACTATTGTAGCTGTACATCCACTGGTGATCACCATATTGTAAAATTTCAATCAATAAATCCATGGACTCCTGGATGATTTTCCTTGAGTAATGAGCTTCTGTACTCATTTGGGATAGATGGAGTATTTCCAGTTGAGTTTTGCCTCAGAAACCCAAATAATTCCCATTTCTTGATGTTTCATTAGCTATGTGTTCCTTTGATCTTGTTAGGTTTTGTCTCTTTGGCTGGATATGGGTAGGTAAATGTGCATGCCATGACTATTTTACAGTTACTTTCAAAATTTAATTAAACTACTTTATCAATGTATGTCAGTAAACTTGGTATAAAATCACAATAAATAAATCAAATTTGAACATTATACAAGTTTTAATTTCAACAGGATATATTTAAATAGATTTTCCATTTTCACTTCTTTATATCATGACATTTGTTGGCTTTGAATTGTCCAATGTAGATATCCTTCCTACCTCTATCTGAGCTTCTGAGTTTTAACACAAAGCACAAACATATAGTATAGATATTGCTAAGACATAATTTTATAGCCTCCACTCATCTTGATTTACAGATATATAAACCAGAAAGACAAACCCACATGCTACACCCTCCTATCATGTACTGTCTTTCAAAAAATGTCAGTAATTCTCACTGTCATTTGGTAACACATTATTGATAACTAATAGAGAATGTTTTAATTAACTGAATAACATAATAGGCTAGCTTGTTCTTATGACAGCTTTTAAATTATTTGTCCTACAGATTCAGATTTGCTATCACTGAGCTCACCTTGACCAAGTAAAGGAAATATTTTGGTACACTTATAGCTTATTTAGAAACAAGTTAAATTATAATAGTTTTTGGACATTAATAGATAATAAAATCTAATAAATACTTTTAAATATTATGCTATATTTATGTGCATCTACAAGTTGAGTTTTGGGATAAGAAAAAATACCAAAAGACATATAGAAATAATCTAAGCAACATTTTTTTCTTTGTTTTTATTATTTTTTCTTATTCATTTTATTTATTTTTTATTTCTGGCCTAACTTTTTTATGACATATTTTTTTTAATTTGAGCATTGAAAATTTTGTGCCCAATTATGGTAACTGCTCTCAAATTTAGCCTGTATTTCTCTCTATAATCTACCAAAAATAAGGGGTAACCTTTATTGCAAAAAAGTGCAAGACACACACATAAGTACTAAATGCCTTGTTTTTTAATGAATATTTTTATTTATTGTGATAAAAATAACTAAAGTGCAAAAAAGCTAAAACTTGTTAGGTTAATTAAAAAAATTAAAATTCTAAAACATACTTACCATACATACTGACACTTTAGCTATTTCTCGACATTGGCTTTG